TGGGTCTGGCTTGACTCGACTCGTTTTTTTGTCTCTGTTGACTATTGTTCTTCAAGTACATCTGTCTTGTTTTAATAGCGATGAATCGTTTCTATAAAAACACATTCTACCCATTATTTATCTAAGAAATTAATTTATAACAATATAATGTTTATGTCCCTGTATTTCTGATAGTCAGTTTAAAACTGTTGCAAAAAGTTTAAGGAAATGTGAATTGATTAATCTTAGTTGAAACTCTCTTCAACTACGCCTATAAGCGCAGATTAAATTTTCATTTTCAAAAATAACAGAATGAATTTCTTATAGTAAATGAGTTCTGAAGTCAGGGTTAACATTCCATGGTAACATGAGAATAAACAAATACTTGAATTGAAGACCATATCAACTGAATTAAGGATGTGGGTGTGGGTGTGGATGGGGATGTGGACTGTTGGTCTGGGTTGTGGTTCACTCAGCCAAACCCCACCCCAATACTCACACCGACACCCACACCCTTGAAAACACACTCTCGGTCGGGGTGTATACTCGGAGACAAATTTGTGAATACAGATGAATGAATTGTTAGTAACTGGATCACTGATCAATAAGATAGATTCACCTTGATACTGATTGCTTTTTTCCTCTGTTTCTCACATATATGTGCGCACAGTTGAAAAAATAAATGATGTATGTATGATTGATCGCGTTATAATTCAGAGCGGCAATGCAAAATCAGATAGTCGATTCGACTGCGCATGAATAAATCTTTTTGAGTACAATGGCTATCACATAAAAGCGAGGTTGATCTGATTGATGAAAAACAGCCAAAAAACGAACGAAACATGTTGTTTTCATCACTCGAAGGTATCGAGATGCGGGAAAAATGGAAATGACATAGAGTTTTCGTAAAGATAAAAAGAAAAGAGCTTTCATTCGTTTTTCGTCGATAAATGGAGTCAGCTACCTGTCGGAACACTTATAGTGTAAGCTTTTACAGTAGCCGATATGAACCAAAGCTATTGTTTTTCGATCTCTCAACGGATAAAGTGAGACTGGCCGCTTCAATATATTCATCATACATAAAAGTTCTTTTTAGGGTAGCATCATCAGCGTTCTCTTTTACTTCAATAACAACTGGATGAGTTTGTTCTTGCACAATCATTGTTTACGCGTGAGATATTGAGTTGACAACAGTTTTATTATTAATGTTTGATACTCTGTTTTCAGACGATGTAGAAGATGTCGTCTTTTTGTTGATCAAAAAAACAAGAGGTTCAACATTGGCAAGATTCAACCCGCTGGAATTAGAAACTTGTGAAGATTCGATTTTTGCTAATACATTCAGCCAGTTTTGTATTAATTCGGGGACTAAAGCTAAAGTGAGTGAGCATAATCGATCTCCTGTTAGAATTATAGGTATCCAGACAGATCCTAACATATTGCTTGGTATGCGTGCCATGTCTAGATTCCACATAAACCCAAATAATATTATGAAAAAGAAATAGAGCCACAATATAATGTAAGTGAAATACATGATATATTGTAAGATACGCCGTGTTGTTCGACAGCAACAGAAGCACACTCTTCGTGGCTGATCGTCATCACGAAACATTATCCATCGAACGAAGCGAACAAGCTTGACAACTAAATAACGAAGAGCATAATGCCAAGTAATGAGAGACGTCATCATTGTGATTAGATGGGACATTTCAAAATAATAATAGACACATTTGAAAGAACTCTGAGTAACATCTAATTGACATGGATCTCTATTATTTTCACATTGAAGTACTTTATATGGATAGTGAAACGAGTAACAATCATTTACTAGTTCACTTCGTCGAACAAATAATGTTTTGATCGTAATGAGCATGAGAATTTGTACGTGAGTAGCAATAATAGGTAATATTGATCGATTAGGATTAGGAATATGAGAAAGACGCTGATCGAATCGATAACACGTGATAGTTTGCTGATGAAAACAAACTTTATTCGATCCAAATTTTCCATCAGAATAAGCTTCAGTCATATAAGCAAGCAGACGGTCGATACGTTTATTCTTCCAAAATGTTTGTATGATACTTACAATAAGTACAATCGAATAAACACCAAGTACAATTTTCTGACTGACTGATTCGAGCATTAAAACCGTTGAATGAAAGATGTATGCATTGAATTCAATACTAGAATTATCTTTTGATACTAAAACACCTAGTCGTGCCATCAAAATCTACTGAATCTGCTTTGAATAATGACAAAAAAAATCAACGTCAATGTATGTGCATAAAGCACGTTATTTTTATTTTATATTCTCACAGGACATGCATACATGTTTTTTTCCAGATAAAAATTTGTCACGTTACTAAACAATAAATATGACATGTCGTATATAAAATACTAGATATGTTAACTTCGCCACTATTCAGGACGAGCATTAAGACGGTTGTAGAATGTTATTAGAAATGGACATCGCAATGATTTTGTCCGAATCAATGTTTTGTTTGGTGTTAACTGAGAACCGAACAATACATGATTTGAATAGTATCACTCGGTCATATTGAATCCATAGTGAGCTAGGGATCACTCATCGATTGATTTTCTTATAGCGAACCATTCCCACTTGTTTCTATAGCTTTTGATTATTTTCATCAAGAGAGATAAGTTTTATGTAGAAAACATTCGGATACGTGTTTGAAAAATTCATTAGCTTGACCAAATTTGCACTAAGAAGGACACTTCAAACAGCAACATGATGTACAATTGATCTAAGAAAAGTTTCGCTTAATCGTCCATATGCTAGAAAGAAGCGTCTGGTTTTGCTAAAAAAACGGTTTTGATCAATATGCAGAGTGTGGGTGTGGATGAAATGAATATGAACATCCACGCTCACACATTCATGCCCACACCAGTACCCAAATCCACTTACCCACACTCCACACCCACCCTTAGCTTTCATGCGTACCTCTAAAGTACACGAAATACTGTTTTAAGAAAAGCAAATTTGTGGATTATTTTGGAAAAATGGTGTGAGTGTGGGTGTTTGATCACATCCTGTAGCCACACCCAGCACCTACACCCTCATTATAAAATTCTTGCCTGCATACATGATCTTGAAGTGGTAAATAATACACTGGCACATATAGCAGAATTATGAGCGTCATCTGAGATGCAAAAGATAAGTCGACAAATTTTGCAGGATGAAAGAAAATAAGTGACATTACATAGTGATTGTGCAATTTTCGCCACGTAAATGTGAAACGTGGCAAAGACAACATGCGTTGCTAGCTAATGAATCATTGAAACTCAATAAACAAGCTATTTCTTTTATATACATACGTGTATATGTGCGTGTACTGGTATTTAACGGCATAATAAAAACAAATTCTAAAGCACTTACATAAATGGGTTCACCACTCAGCAAGATTGCATCGTACTTTCCTCAAAAGGAGGAGGTGCGTGTACTAATTGTAGGTCTCGATGCGGCTGGTAAGTCTATTTTTATGTTTCTATTGCTGACTTATGTGTTCTTTCAATTCAGGTAAAACGACTGCTCTCTATAATATGAAACTAGGCGAAGTCGTGACAACGATTCCTACGATTGGTTTTAATGTTGAAACAATCGAATATAAAAATATTGCAATGACAGCTTGGGATGTTGGTGGTCGTGGTAAAATTCGACCCCTATGGCGGCACTATTACCAAAATACTCGAGCTCTTGTTTTTGTTGTCGACTCAAATGATCGAGAGAGAGTAAATGATGCATGCGAGCAGTTGAATTCGATGCTCAATGAAGATGAACTCCGAAAAGTACCTCTTCTCATATTGGCTAATAAACAAGATTTACCAAATGCAATGTCACCTAGTGAATTAACGGATAAGCTTGGTTTGGAAAAATTAACTCATGATAGAAAATGGTATATACAACCGACAGTAGCCACGAAAAACCAAGGACTTCGAGAAGGTTTTGAATGGCTGTCAGACGCATTGGCAAACAAAAATGTAGATATTTTGCAACCACTAATAGAAACAGCAAAAGATTCGAAAGTGATGAAAGACGATATTCTGTCGATATTTCATTCGATCAGTCTGAAGCAAGTTTTTGCTAAATTTATTCAACATTGAAGATAAGGTTTTTTTGGATCTACTCGAACTACGTTTTTTGTGTATGCGTACTAGATGGTCTTAGAATTTAGTTGAGATTGGAAGTGTTTTATAATTCTGTAATAAAAAAACCATGATACTATAGACAAAAAAAATTACTTGTTGATAATAGATATGATTTAATTGCATGCGAAAGTTTACTTAAATAAAGAGATGTGTTTTTATTGTTATTGTATATTTAAATAATAATAGACCGACTATATTTATTTTGTTTAAAAGAATAAATTTTTGGCAAAAAATTTTTCATTTCTGGTACATTGAATGATTGACGAAGGTTTGCAATTAAAAAATAGAAAGTTAAATTTGCTGTCTAAATGGTATCACTGATGGTATATTACTATTCTTGACAAAATTAGGATCGAAGTTTTTCGATAATAAAGTAAAAGAAAAACAAAAAATAAACATTGAATTTGTTTATGTATTGTGTTTAATGTGGTTTTATTATATGAACTCTTGTCTAAGTTCATCAGCTCACTTTATTTGAAATGGTGTATTTCTATTATAATATTTTGTTGTCAATGGTTTTTTTTAAAGCTAAATCTCGCATTCTAGTTAACTCAATTAAGTTATCATGCAAACTATATCATGAATATGAAGAAAAGCTTCAACAACGAACAATTTTTTAACACAAAAATGTTACCATTCTGGCAATAGGCCTACTCAGGATAACAGTGTATGAATGTAAAGTCGACTTCCACTTATGCTCCATCGATTGCATACAATGATAAATAACAAGTCTGAGATTTTTCACCGAAGGTTTTCTATTTAATCATCATATTTTGCTTATTATTTCATGATTACAATGAATCTAGTTCTTAACACAAAATGACCAATAATTGTTTTCAAAATTGACAAGTCACGTGACAAGATAATAGCTAGGCGGGCAAGAACCTCTTGCCGGCTGGTAACCATTACATGTTGTGCCTGCATTAACATCGTTTGTTTGCATGCCATATATTGTTCTCGATTGATCTTCGATTCATTCCTGCACCTTGTAACATCAAATCATCCTGCCATTATTACTCCACTGCACCAACCATTCATACATTGCATATCCATCAGGACAATCCTCTGACCATGGATCTTGTCCTCCACATTTTTGTCCTCCAGAACCCACAGTAAGACCACATATGGTACCAATTCGATCGAAACTTGTATCTGTTTTAGACTTGTAACAAAAACTCATTACATCAATACCCGTCTTACCAATGAACCATGCATCGTGAGCGTAGTCAGCTGGGCACGTACCACTCTCTGGATTAATCCCTCCACAATCCACACCAGTACTCGTTCGAAGACCGCATATGAGATCACTGAAAACATTAGGTTTCGGCAACTGATTGGAACAAGAGATTCCCGACCAACCGGGTTTGCATTGACATAGACCAAAGCGAAAGTATGCTGTTGAGATGCATTCACCATTCAATGGACTCGTGCAATTATTATAACAAAATAGTGAATTTTCAATATATTTATTCAATGCTTCTTGAATAAGACTTGCTTTTGTTTTAATTTTGGCATCTGATGGAAATCGAGTTGGTTTGAATAAATCGAATATGCTTCGAATATCTAGTTTCATAACAACTGGATTAGCTTAAACTATTTTTGACCATTTCATTATATCTTGCATTGATATATCGCCACTCAACGAACTTGCATAGACAGTTTTAACGTAACGCATGAATCTGTGGTTTTGAGCGAAAATGTTATCTCAAATTCTATTTTAGCTTCTTGGCTGACATCATAACCGTCATTTATGATTGTTGATATATTCAATCGAGAAATATAGATGTTTTCTTGAGCTACACCACCAAGAAGGACATCGGTCACAGAAGTAAAATCAAAATAATTGAAAATATATTCAAAAATATATTCTTCTACGTCAGCCGAATAATGGCAACATGGCATTGGTTCGATTACTAAACGAAAGTTATTCGATAGATTGAGTGTAGGTTCAAATAATGACACACGAGCATAGGAGATACGTGCACTCGTATGATAGACTTGCAAATCTTCTTCATAAATTTTATCGATCGCTATATCTCAGACAATTGTGATCAAGACTTTGTTCGCGAAATTTTGCCTAGTGAGTGGTTCCAAACCCGGAACCAATTTAAGAGTTTGAGAAAGAATCTGGCAGATATGCTGTTTAATTTAAGTGATCAACCTCGCTTCGGTCAAGGATTCTGTAGAACAGTTTAGCAAGCTAGATTCGACAGCACGTTCGCAGTACTTCAAAGTAGATATGCAAATTCTACTGAGCAACCACAACTTTACTGGGCTCAAGTATTTTCTTAGGACTTTCGATTTAAAGAGATATTCTTGAAGTAATTCAGCATGACTATATCTTACTGTTGAATGTCACTATTCCATCAACAAACACAACCACACAATTGTCCACAACATCAACAACATTTACATTGTCAACGTCAACAAAGAATGCTGCCAGATTGATTCATTAAAATCAGACTAAAAAGATAATTTTTGTATTTGTCTCCTTTCTCTTATTATGCCTATTTCAAATTTAATTATATTTTGAAGCTTTACATTGCAAGAAACTAGATAACAGACTTATTATACATAGCTTGGTGTGAATGCGCGAAAAGATTCACAACGCATCTATCTCAATCATTGCCAAGTGAAACTTGAAATCTTAGTTGAATTGAAGTTTTATATTACTACATATTAAGTAAAATTCTGTTGTGCATAATTCAAAAGTCTCTGCATCTTTGACTTTCTTCTAGAAACTCAAAAACGTTTTTATCATAAAACAGCCCTTTTATATTAGAAGAAATGACTCATCGATTATAGCGCTGTTTTCTTCTTTTCTCACATATTCTCTCAGCCCAAATTAAGATTTCAACTTCGTTTTGGTTCAGTTTTTTTTTTATTTCGAATCAAAATGAATATCATTTGAAGATCCTCATTGCAAAGGTGAAATATTGATATCATGCTTGCTCGACATACCCACTCTCAAGTTCTCATTTCAAAATTTCAAAGAAACGAAATAGGATAGAATTTGATTAAATAACAATTGAAATCGAGAATAGAATACAGACGGTATTTCTTTTTTAAATGCAGTGAAATAATAAAATTGAACAGAAACAAAATATCATGATTAAAAATTTCACTACTATTAGTCTATGTGATCATCTGAATTTCAATGGTCTTGGTGTCATAAATTGTTTGACTTGGTCATCGGTGACCTGTTTTCGTCGTTCTTGATGTTCTAAAATTAACTTTTGTAATACGTCGATCAATTCTTGTTTCAATTCACCAGTTAATAATTGACCAGATGAGTAACCCTGTATTTATAAAAACGAAACAGAATATAGTGATTCAATCAGATTCCAAACAATATATAGCAATTATTCTATTATCATACGTATCAAAGTGGAATTAAATCTTCAAATATTCAATATCTTATACTCGAAAATCAAACATTCATGTGATTCAAAACTCAATATGTTAGAAATGATCTTTTGTCTTTCAACTTACACCTCTTAAACGTTCTAATTTTTCATCATCTTCCATGAAAAATCTTAAATATTGATAAGAAACGTCAACATCACAATTACCACCAGTTCGTCGATGTTCTTCTACGGTTTGACCACCGCCACTATAGGCATGATGATTGATCTAAAAACGAAAAAAAAAAACTACACACTTGAACAATATGTTCTGTTTACATTGTCTTTAATATCAGCCGCTGTATCAGTGAGAAAAATTGATGAAGTCATATCGGATGCGCTCATTTTTGATTTAGCACCTTGTAAAGCCGGAAAGAAAATTGAATGAAGTAAAGAACATTTCGGAAAATTGAGACGAGATGCAACATCACGTGTCATTCGAAAGAATGGGTCCTGTTCATGGAAACAATCAATTAAAAACAAGAAAACAAAAAACAAAGAATTCAAATGAACCTGATCGATAGCACATGGAATGAGACAAGACAATTCTTCTTTAGCACTGTCATTGAATATAAAAGGAAACGAAGAACTTATAGCTGGAGCAGCTTGAATAGCAGGAAACCCGATTTTTCCTATTGAATCCGAATCGGTTAGACCAAAAATGCCTGAAAAGAAAATATCAACAGATTATAAACATGTCCAAATAGTAATGATGAATAGTTTTATATTTTCATTGTTTTTCTAACGATTAAGACATGACATAAAATGTATTCAAAACCAGAAAAATAAAGATAAAGTTGAGATCGAAAAAGTTTTTATTGATTATTACCTTTGACTTGATTGTAGGTAACACATTTTTGAATTCGACAAATATTCTTGTAGAAATGAGAACATTGACTAAAAAAAAAGAAGAAATATGGAAAAATGATTCATTATTAATCAATTAGACGAAATAGACATACGCAATGTATTCAAAATCACTAAAAATGAATGTTTTATTTATGTCAAAACCACATGCAATAATATCTTTTGCATTTTCATGTGCCAATCGATTAGTTTCTTCCGGTGTAAGATCTTTCCATAAGAATTTTTCATCATCAGTCATTTGAATAACTAATGGAACATTAAACACATCTTGTAACCATCTGTTCAATTCAAATTTAGAAAAAAAATAAAAATTTAATTTTTTTTTTGTCTATCTTACTTTGTCATGATAAATGGTACCAAATGTCCTAAATGCATCGCTTCTGATGATGGACCACGGCCAGTATATAAATAAAATGGTTTCTGTCGTTCATAAGCATCTAATATAGTATCTAGATCTCTGTGAATAATCAACAAAATTAGATTTTCGAATATCAACGAATCAATTTTTTACCGATGAGAAAAAAAGATGCGACGCCGAATAAAATGATGAACGGGACGTTGAATGATTGTTTCCATTCTTTGCACTAAGTCATCCGTCAAATGTGATGAACCGAATCGGACTATATTTTAAAATCAAATTTTTTTTAAACCTTCAATAAAGTAGGAAGATTTGTTTTCAAAAAATTCTGATTAAATGATTGTTTTCTTGTTAGATTAAATACTCTTTCAAGCAATTCTAACTGATAATCTTTTCTATTTGCAGATAAAATATATCTTGAGGACGAGTTGTGTAATATTCATGGGTGAAAGTGTTTATGTGTACTAGCGAATGAAATATATCGGAACAGCTAGGCGAATAAGAGAGATACCAAAAGATCAAAGAAATCGTTTAGTGATCATGAGGAGGAGAACTGCAGAAATGATGTGTATCATGTATGCTTTCCCATCATAACTATAGTCATCATACTACTCCACACAAACGGTAATGGGTTTGATAAGCTGATTCATTGTTGACATGATAGATAATCTTCGAACTTACCAATTATTTTATTATAATCGACTCCTGCCATCGATTCGGCTTTCACTTCCCATGGATTGATGACATCACCATTTTTCGTAGTGCCATTTTTATATTCAGAAGTTTCATTTGATTGATCACTCATTGTAGCAATAATCTAAATATTCATCAATGTACAACGTCTTACACATATTTCACTTACTCAAAAAATACTGTTTATATTCGTATATGAGAAAAGTAGTGATTACTCTTTGCTATATATATATACCTCCAGAAATATTCTAATGAATCATCAAATATACTATATGCGAAGAAGAAACACACAGAAACAGCAAATTAGGTTCTTTCTAACGTCGCAAAACCATATTGAGTAATTAGCCTGGAAATCCACCCACAGAACTTTAAAAAAAAGAATACGAATAAATGACTTGAGTAAATATTTTACTTCCATTTTTTACTTCGAATGATGAAATATTTTTACAAAGACAATACCACATTAGTCAACATGATGTCAGAAATAGTATGTCAACATAACAGACATCAATATTTGGAAATTCGTTTGTCAAACGATCTAATTATGATGCTTAATTGAATGAACATTTTCTTTTGCTTTTATTCTAGAAAACTTTTTCTAAAATTGACCTTTATAAAACAATACGCAAGGTAGTGCTCTATTTTCATTAAACCATTTTACTATTTGTTTGCTCTCGTGAGTTACGATTTACACCGGTTATCTATGAGTGAAAGAAACACACATCATGTATGTTATTGATAAGACATTTCTAACTAATATCAACGTTGTTTATCTGTAACTCAATGTCACGTTTTCTTTTTCACCGTAAAACAAATGGACCAAATACGGAGACCTTCCGTTGGGTTTTTTAACGTTCAAAGCATTCCAAAAATATTGTTAGCGAGCTATCAACAGAATTTATGCATAAAAAATTCTAGAAACTGAATACGAGTATTCGTTCTATTGAGTTACAATGATGTTAATGAGGATGAAAGGCAAATAGAAAAAAATAAAACTAAATAAAAGAATACTCTCTAGTGTTTTTTTAAAATCAATGCCGGACTCAATATGAAAATTATTGAACACAAGCATCGACGAACAAAAGACGGTTCTCGATGATGGCTCAGCAAATTTTCCCATGTGATGGACATCGAACTAATTTTCAATTGTCAGTGAAATTCTTTTCTGGATGCACTAGAAGCGTGAAAGTTTCTGATACGCCTTTAACGTGAATTCTAACAAAGCGATGTTAGACACGCAGTTTGTGAAACATGATTTTGAATGAATATTGAATTCTATAACGATAATAATGAACAAGCAACCGACCGATGTTCTTTTGACACTGACACCAATCATCTTTGCTATGCGAGTATTTGTAGGCCGCTAGGCGACAATGTACATGAGTTTCCTTCGAACTTATCATGAATCATGATCAAAGATAGAGAGAGTATCGTTTTGTACAATCAAACTCATTACATTACGTTTTGCACGAAGAAGCTATCTGACAAGAAAAAAGTGTTCAACTTGAATAAATTCAATGGGTAGCCACATGCTTTGATGTTTGCTCGAAAAAAGTCCTTTATAAAATATGTACACGAAATTTTGCTATTGTAGCCACATTCATTTTAGCACTCAAAAAAGTTCATGCATTAATCATAACAGTCTATGAAATGACGTTATCAAAGTGCGTAAATCGTGTCGAGAGATGTTAAAGGAATACTGCCATTGCACCAAAGTGATTCATCATTGTCTTTCGCAGAAACAAAGTAAGAATTTTTCGAAATTTCGTAAGAAAAGAAATAAACACCAACGAACATTAATCATAATTACGTCTTACAAATATTCAGTCAATTAAAGAACATATTCTATTATTCAGAAAGAAGGGTTGATGAGTGCTTTTCAACAGTTGAAGTGGGAATAAGTTCTGCGAAAAAAAAACAGATGAGAAGATTCCAACGCTTGATTGTGTAGAATTCAATGAAAAAGAAAAAAATCTTTTCATTTTTTCTGACCATCTCATCATTACAACGTCTTATATCTTTTACTCTTTCTTATATTACGAACACTATTCACTATTACATTCATCAACAAACAAGTAAGTCTCAGAATAGGTTTCCTTCCGTCAGGGTTTAGTCCATGCTCTGTGATAGCTATTTGATGTTCAAAAGTTTGAACGATTCAAAATATTTTAGTTCAAAAAAAACCATGCCTTGCCCCTATGCTAGATCGCTGTCGAATCATGTGATGAATACCAACGATGATCAATATAATGAAGACAGTGATAAACATGACAATAATCAACAAATGACCCGATCGTTATCAGTCAACGATGTTTATGATCATGCAGAAAAGACTAAAGAACCATTAAATTATACAACGTATTTGGGTCTTGTTCAATTGTTAAGTTCACTTCGATGTATTAGTCATGTTGATCCATCAGATAGTCGTAGTCCACCTGTTCATGATGAACATTTTTTCATTATTATTCATCAAGGTAATTTTTGTGCACAAAAAATAAATTTTTTCATATTCTCTATAATTGTTTGTTTTTTAGTCTTTGAATTATGGTTTAAAGCATTTCTCTATGAAATAGATTCAATCCGAAACATTTTTAGCAATAGTAGTAATGTTATACCATTATTGTTCTACATTAATTTACGATTAAATCGATCAGTCGGAATATGGAACATGTTAATTGATATGTTACAACATTTAGATACAATGACACCAGTTGAATTTCTTGCATTTCGAGATTTTGTCACACCAGCTAGTGGTTTTCAAAGTCTACAATTTCGAATAATCGAAATGAAACTTGGTTTAACAGATGGATTTCGAAAATCATACAAGACAGACTATTTTATTAATACAATGTTCAAAGGTGAACAAAGAAATGAACTAAAAAAACTTTTAAAAGAAGATTCATTATTGAAATTAGTCGAGGTAATTTAATTATCAGTATTGATCATGACATACTAATAATCGTTTGTGAATATTTCTATTTAGCGTTGGTTAGAATATGTCTATGATAGTACAACATCATTTGAATTTCTTGATGTGTTCAAATCGTCTGTGGAATCATTCATCGAACATGGAAAAAAACAAAAAATAGTGGTTAGTGAACTATTATTAATTGGTTTTTTTTCTTACTGAGACACGATAATATTTGCATTGTTCGGTGCTTTTATGAAGCACAATTGAAAATAAGTATTGAAATATTTAGCGAGAAAAATCATCCATCACCATTCTATTTCATAGATTGTGATCTGTCGCAGTTTTTGATATTAAAAGAAATTTTCGTTTACAAGAAAATTAATTATTTAGCTCCTTTGAAGTCTTTCGTGTTTCACGTTTTAATGACGTATGATTTGTACTGAAAGTTTTTTTTTCTGTTTCTAATTAGAATGGTGTCGATATTGAAACTGTTAAGACAGAAACTGAAAATATGAGACGGCAATTTTCAAGCATGATCGATCCGACTGAATACAAAAAATTATTGGATACTCAAGAACGACGACTTAGTCAAAAGGCCATGTTAGCTGCATTGATGATTTCACTTTATCATCAACAGCCTTGTTTTCAACAAGCCTATCAAATGCTTGGCTTACTCATGGATGTTGATGGATTAATTGCCAGTTGGCGGCGTATGTAGATCAATAGTTTTCCTTTTTAATATTGAATTTTATTCTTAGATAAACATGTTCTTCTTGTTCAACGTCAAATTGGTCGAAAACCTGGTACAGGTGGCACCGGTGGTTTCTCCTATTTACATCAAACTGTCAAGTAAGAATCTGTTGCTTTTTGTTTTGATGCGCATTTTCCTTTATTCGAATTGTTGTATATGTGATGCTAATTAAAAGTTGTTAATCAAATTCATTACTAATGAATTTAATAGAGAAAAATATTGCATTAATTGTCTTTTGCTTTTAGTGAAAAATATCAAATATTCATCGATTTGTTTAATATTTCGTCATACTTGATTCCACAACGATTCTTACCCAAATTCTTTGGTCAACTGGCAGAACCAGCTAATTTACTATCAACTTTGCATGTTATACCTCCTCAACAAGTTCCAATCATTCGTTCAAATCCACGAACAGTATCAACACGTCGCTTAAGTCAATTTTTCGCTCAACCCGATCAAGGTGTCTTCAATTTACTACTCTTCATAGCAGGGTGTCTATTCGTTATGATTCTCTATGGATTAATTAAACTGTTTTAGAGCATTTTCATTCGATGAATACTATTGAAAAAATCTCTAAAAATAAATATCAACAATTTTTGTTATATATTCAAGAAAAAAGTTTTTTTTTTGTTGACAATCGTTTTTCATTGTTACTCCAAGAATTTGAAATAATACTCAAGTTTGAATTCTTCTTTCATATGTGCAAGTGCAATCTCTATTAATGGTTGCCAGGGTGTGGAGTGTGAGTGTGGGTGCGGACGTGAGTTAGAAGGGAACAAAACCATCCTAGAATTCACTTACATTCACACCCAGTCACATGTAATTAAAAAAATGACGTTTGCGTTGCTGTCTCACCTGTAATTTTTTAAGAAGTTCGACAGTCACCTAAGAATGGTAAAACTAAGCATGCGGCAGTTCACTTTGATCTGAACTGAACTGTTTTACGCTTGAATACGACTACACAAAACATCTTTTGTTAATTTATATTTAGACTTCAATGGCAAAAAATAGTCAGTCACTCTTTTATTACGAAGTCTCTGTTTTATGTAAATGCCAGCAATCGCTCACTCCCTCTGACGGCATTATAGGTTCTGTTAAAAAAGAATAGAAATAATTATAAACGAGTCGACTGCACAATCTACTTCAATCACGGTTTCTATTTTATTTTTGCCCGTTCTTCCAGTAAATATTTACAACAGTTTTGTTGTTCTCTTTTACTATAAAATTTGCTTTTTGGTGGGTTTCATCTGACAACGTGTACTCTGTTGTAACTATCGAGTTTCTATTGAAAAAATGCATATTAATCATCGAAAGAGGCAGCATCACTTGCCTGAATTGGCATTTTTTATTTTCTTTTCTTTACAGTAGGTATACATGAATGGCAAAGAGGGTTTTTTGTTTTTACTAGAGTGTCTGCCTCGCAGCTGGAGTCGGATGGGCATACCGCTATCGGTCTCAACAGTAGCCGATATACCAACTCGCTACAGACCACTAAATCACTGTTATCGTTTGCAGACGCTGTACATTTCTTTACCTTGGGTTGATCATCAAAGTAACGAGCAAAGCAAAAGGATAAGTTATGAGTATTAAGAACGCGTGACTAAATTAATGAGAACGTCTAGCTATTGAAGATAATGTGTATTTTAACATCTGTTAGACAATTCACACTTCAGTCTCTTGCTTTGTGATACTCATTGATACTCGAGAGATTTAGGCTTCGTATGCCTCATATTTGATTATTTTTCTCTCAATTGAGGAACGGATGTGGGTGCGTGGATGTAGTTATAGATGAGATGATATTCACACCGTACACTCACCAATATCCAAACCCATACCTATACCTACAGCCACACCCATCGGACTTTCATGTCATATCTTTTTTTGGTAATAAATTTGATGTAAAGTATAATAACATAGAAACAAAAAGGAGAAAAGAATTTTGTCCAGATATGTAACATAAACAGTTTTAACATTTATTAAAGCAACGTATATTTTAATTGTATCTAACCATAATGACTTCATCCACTTCTATGCAAATTTGATCCGAAAAGACAATATCAGAATGAATATTACCATTACTGATTTTTTACATAAATTCCTGACTTTTCTGCCAAATTTTTCCTATATGTAAAGGGGTATGTGAATGTGGAGTGTATGGATGTCCAGATGCGTCTGTGGGTAGACGTGGGTTTAGGGTGTCGAATATGAACGACAAAGAATCTTACATCCATATACTCACTCACAACTTCAACCGACACCTACGCGCGCACCTTATGAATTTTTTTTCGTAACTCTTATTTTTTTCCCTTTTCATATTCTACTATTGAATTTTACTCCGAAGAAATTTTTGTTTTAATGATTATGGCACAAGCGTTAACATCAGATATCGAAGTAATAAATGATCTTTCATTCAATCAATCATCAACTACAACAAATAATGAAAATAAAGAAAGTATAACACTTATTTGGTTTGATCCAAATATTGGATCACGTCAAGAAACTGAACAAACAAAACAAGAACTTCGTTCAATTAATGATTTTGTTATTTTTTTTACTGAACGCGAAGAATGTATTTCATTCATTCAATCAATTGATAAAGAAAAAATCTTTTTAATTGTATCAGGATCAAAAGCATCAGAAATTTTACCTCGAATTTCTTCTAATCAAAACATCGATTCAATTTTTATCTTTTGTAAAAAAAGAGACCGATATGAAAATTTAATGAATGAATATCGGAAAATAGTTGGGATTTATATAAATCTTGATGATTTATGTGAATCAATTAAAGATCAAATTAGTCTTTTTAATAAACAAATACAAGTATTTTCTATTTTTGATCAACATCAAACATCGACAAAAGATTTACTCAAAGAATCAGCAGAATTTCTTTGGTTTCAATTATTTAATTATGTTACAGCTTGTCTTCCACGAAATCAACAAGCAAAACAACAAATGATTCAAATATGTAAAGATTATTATCGTGGAAATATAACAGAAATGAAACATATTCAAGAATTTGAACAAAATTATCGATCAGAAGATGCTATTCGTTGGTATTCAAAACAATCATTTATCTATAAATTAATTAATAAAGCATTACGAATAGAAGATATTGATTTCTTATATATATTTCGATTTTTTATTGGTGATCTTTCTCAAAATCTTCAACATGAACATAAAAAAATTTTATTATCTGAAGAAAAAATTTTAAATGTTTATCGTGGAGTTAAACTTAATAAACAAGAATTTAATAAATTAAAAGAAAATCAAGGAAAACTTATTTCAACAAATGGATATTTATCTACTAGCCGACGAATGTCATCAGCATTAAGTTTTGCAGTAAAACCAACAACAAGAACTGATTTTATTCCTGTTCTTTTTCATATTCAATTCGATATTGAACAAGTTGATAAAAATATTATTTTTGCTGACATTCATCAATTAAGTGAATATCCAGATGAGGAAGAAATTTTATTTGATTTAAATGCTTGTTTTCAAATTGAATCTATTGAAGAAGATGAATCATTACAAATCGTTAAAATGAATCTTTCAAATGAAGGACAAAAAATTACTAAAAATTTTATTGAATTAACAAAACAAGAAACAGAAGAACTAAGTGTTTCGATTGTTTTTGGAAGATTATTATGTGATATAGGTAAATATGATAAATCACAAAAATATTTTCAACAATTATTGAATGACTCACATGATGAAGATCGTGCATGGATTGAATTTAATATTGGTCGAGCTCTTCATTACAAAGACAAATTCAATGAAGCTCGCGAATATTATGATCGGGCACATGATCGAATGATGAAAACCGAACCACCACGAGTGAAAGATACTGCTAAAGTTCTCAACAATGTTGGTAACCTTCTCTATCGACAAGGAAAGTATAATGAAGCTCTCGACTATCATCAACGAGCATTAGAAATTCGAGAGAAATATTATCCAGTTGGTCATGCGGATGTTGCTCATAGTCTCAATAATATTGCTCTTATTTTCGATCATAAAGGAAAATGCGATGAAGCCCTTCAATATCATCAACGAGCATTGAAAATTCGAGAGGAATTTTATCCATATGGTCATCCGGATGTTGCTGTAAGTCTTGACAATATTGGTCTTATTTTCGATAATCAAGGAAAATACGATGAAGCTCTGGATTATTATCGACGAGCATTGAAAATTCGAGAGCAATTTTATCCATCTGGTCATGTTGATCTTGCTAAAAGTCTCTACAACATTGGTAAAGCTTTGTATAGAAAAGAAAAATACGATGAAGCACTTGACTATTATCAACGAGCATTGAAAATTCGAAAAAAATTTTATTCATCTGATCATGTGGCTGTTGCTGATAGCCTCTACAACATTGGTAATACTTATCATCGACAAGGAAAGTACGATGAAGCTCTCAAATACTATGAATGGGCACTGAAAGTGCAAGAGAAACTTTATCCATCTGGTCATGTTGATATTGCTCTTAGTCTACACACTATTGGTCTTCTTCTCGATAATCAAGGAAAAACCGACGAAGCTCTCGATTATTATCAAAGATCATTGGAAGTTCGAGAGAAACTTTATTCATCTGGTCATGGTGATATTTCTCAAAGCCTCAATAGTATTGGTAATATTTTGTATAGACAAGGAAAGTATGATGAAGCTCTTCAACACTATCAACGAGCATTTAGAATTGAAGAGAAACTGTATCGATCTGGTCATTTCGATATATCTCTTAGTCTCCACAAAATTGGTGACACTTGCCGTCGACAAAGAAACTACGATCAAGCTTTCCAATACTATCAACGTGCACTGGAAATTCAAGAGAAGCTTTGTCTGTCTGTTCAGACCGATATTGCTCATAGTCTTAACAACATGGGTGTTACTCTCGATAGTCAAGGAAAATACGATGAAGCTCTCAATTATCATCAAAGAGCATTGGAAATTCGAAAGAAACTTTATCCATCTGGTAATGTTGATGTTGCTGATAGTCTTCACAACATTGGTGTTAATCTCAATAGTCAAAGAAAATATGATGAAGCTTTAGATTATTATCGAAGGTCATTGGAAATTCGAAAGAAATTTCATCCATCTGATCATGTTGATATTTCTCAAACTCTCAACAACATGGGCAATATTTTATATATACAAGGAAAATACGATGAAGCTTTGTGCAATTATCAACAATCATTGGAAATTCGAGAGAAATTATATCCATCTGATCATGCCAATATTGCTGAAAGTGTCTTCAACCTTGGTAACACTTACCGTCGACAAAGAAAGTATGATGAAGCTTTCCAATATTATCAACGAGCATTGAAGATTCTAGAGAAGCTCTACCCTTCCGGTCATGTCGATATTGCCCATACTCTTTATAAAATGGGTCTTATTCTTGATATTCAAGAAAAATACGATGAAGCTCTCAGTTATCATCAAAGAGCATTGAAAATTCGAGAGAAATTGCATCCATCTGATCATATCGATATTGCTCAAAGCCTCAATAACATTGGCAATATTTTATATAGACAAGGAAAGTACGATGAAACTTTGTGCAATCATCAACGATCATTGGAAATTCAAGAGAAATTATATCCATCTGGTCATGACAATGTTGCTGAATGTCTCTACAAGATTGCTAATACTTATCGTCGACAAAAAAAGTATGATGCAGCTCTTCAATACTATCGTCAAGCATTGGACACTCTAGAAAAACTTTATCCTTCTGATCAAGTCAATATTGACTATAATCTTCGTAACATGAGTCTTAATCTTGATAATCAAGAAAAATATGGTGAAGTTCTCGATTATCAACAACAAACGTTGAAAAATCCAGAAAAACTAAATCCATCTAGTCATGTCAATACGGGTGAAAGTTTGTACAGCATTGATACCGCTTATCTTGAACAAGAAAAGCATCGCAAAATACATAATCATTATCAACCAACATTGAAAATTCAAGAAAAAGGTAATATGTTGGGTAATGACTTCATCGTAACCTGTTTGAACAATATTGGTATTTGTTATGAGAATAAGCACAATACAAAGATGGCACTCAACTATTATCAGCAGGCATTAACTATTTGTAAAAAGTCTTTTGTCTCTGACAATTCCAGCCGACAGACAATCGAAGAGAATATTCGTCGAGTCACTAAAGGAAGCTAAATTTGAACAATAGAGTACATATAAAGAAAATTTCAATAGAGGTGTCAAGACTTTGTTTCCGTTTTCAAATGTTTGTTTGTAATTCTAAATACTCGATATTTAGCAGGTCATGATTTTGAAAAAAGATAAAGTTCTATATTAAACTGTGCTTACTATCTTTTGAGTGAGACTCTTAAGGGGGGAACCGTTTGAAATAAATTTTTTCATTTATCATCCGATTTCGACGGAAATTTTAGAAAATATTATTCTTGGCTAGTACCGATTGTGGTTAGAATATCTCCACAAAGTTCTGAGCGGTTCATCATTTATTGGTCGAAAGTACCATTTACATAGGCAATATTTTCAAGATGAGGGTACGAGCTAATATGTTGAGATGGTTTTTGAATTGTAGAGTACGACATGGATGTGACGAGGAAAATATCAACAACCACACCCAAACTTGGAGAAACTGACAAATATAGTTGAATGTGAGTGTATGTCTTTTCTATACCCATAGCATTGCGACATCAATTGGTCATAGTGTCGAATGGACACTATGAGGATCAGTCACATAAATGACAGAAGAGTGATTTCTAACTCATTTTTCACAAAACATCAATTTCCAGGCATGTGATTCGATCACATACAGCACCACGTGAGGATGCGGGTGGTATGTGAAAAAGAAAGATTTATAACATAAAATGGATTCGTAGATGACTTCGTTGGTAAACATTAATTGAATGTTGACATTCACATTTTGAACCTATCGAAATGTTATGAAAAGACAAAAAATTATAGGAGATTATGCAAAATTTTTAAAATAATTATTATTTGTTCTCATATGAGACTTCATGTTCAACCAGAAGAATTTTCTAAACATATACATATCTACATTTTTTCTGAACTTCTCTTAGTTATTTCACTATAATGTTATTTAAAAAAAAAAACAAATTCTATTGCTTATTCTTTTCAAGTAGAAACTAATGTAATAAGAAAAAGAACTTTAAAATATTTACGTATATACAATCTCTCATTAATTTCTTTGTTATATAGTGAACACAGTTATAATAATAAAGGAATCAAAATGAATAATCAATCTATATTAAATTTAAATTCTATATATTATTTCTATTAATATGTAAAGAGAATGTACTATTTAATATCTAAATATAGAATGATCAAAGTACTGTAGCCATAGGTTTACGAATTTTTATTTAAGAGTTTCTAATTCTTTAATCTTTCAAACGAACAAATAAAATTATAAATGTCAATATAAATCATAAGAAATAGAAAAATTATTGTATGATATTCAAATAAAAATTCATTTATAATATGTTCAATTTATGTGTTTGACTTAGCTATTTCAATCATAGATTCTTTCATCTTTATTAAACAGTTGTTTAGCTGAATCATTGATTAAATAGAAATGATTCATAAAAGGCTCTTTTCAATAATGTCGTATGACAGCGTCAGAATCAATGAACAGTCAAGTATCATACTTCATTATGCTCCATTTAATATTAATTATATGACTTCATCTAAATCTAAGACAATCTTATCGAAACAATCAATTGATTCAACTTGTTTAAGTGAGCAATAGTTTAATTGAATGAAGAAAAAAAAAGATGTCTATTATAGTTTTATAAACACTTAGATGAATCATTGAATAAAACTTCAATTTACAGTTCAATAGAACATTTTCTTTCTTTACGATATGATTTATCAAATAAAAAAATTCTTTCAAAACGAGTCAAGTAAAATTATTTTCTAAATTGTTTTTATTTATTTTAAATATAATATCTAGACGTTTTTATGAACGTCAAAATGCTATCATTGATAAATATGCTTATGTTCTAAATCATACAGAACAAATTATTGATCAAACAACAATTAAACTTAAAAAACATGTTCAAATTTTAACAACTATTTCACTTATTATTAATATTGTAATTAATTTATTAAATTATTTAAAAAAGAAAAATAATTTTCATTTCATTTTAGTTTTTATTTTTTATTAAAATTATAGCTTCAATTCTATCAAATTCATTATCAATTATATCAAGTGTTATTGATTCAGCAGTTGATCTTGTTTCAAGTATAATTCTATTTTGGACAACATATGCTATACAACATCGAAATCAATATAGATATCCAGTTGGACGAACACGACTTGAACCAGTTGCTATTATTATACTTTCTGTTATTATGTGTTCAACATCAATACAAATACTTTCTGAAGCTATTAAACGATTATTTATTTACATTCAATATATTACAAATCATACAAATAATATATCTGAAGTGAATATGAATATTAGAAAACCAATTCCAATTATTGTTATGTGTATAACAATTGGTAAGATTAAATATATATTCAATTAAAATTTATATAAAAAGAAAGTAAAAAAAAATTTATTTAATAATGTAGTTGTACATAAGATAGATCATATTCTAAATATTATTAGACTTATATATAGATAAAATTTCAATTAAATATATGAAAATTCAATAAAGAATAGTCATGACTTAATGAATTTTGTTTTTTTTGTACATAGTACTCAAAATTATTCTCTACTTTTGTTGTCGTCATATTCCAGTCGAAACAATTAAAGCTTTAGCACAAGATCATCGTAATGATATTTTATCTAATTCTGTAGCACTTATTTCTGGTCTTCTTAGTAAGATATAGTATAAAAAATTTATATGAAAAAAAATTTTGTTTTTTTTTTTTGCTACAGCTGGTCAAGCAGTTTTAAAACAAATCGATTTACGATTTATTGTCATAGATCCAAGTAAAAATTAAAATTATTCAATTTAAAGTTCTCTTTTCTTTCTCTCTCTAATATTTAATCTAGTCGGAGCAATAATCATTTCAATCTATATTATTATTTCATGGATTCTACAAGCTACTAGTAAAATATAAAAAATTTTATTAAAATTTTTCAAATATCTTATTCTAAATAGTACATATTCGTCATTTAACTGGTATAACAGCTGATTCAGATTTTCTTAAATTAATAACATGGATAGCTATTAATTTTTCACCACATCTTACAAAAATTGATATGGTAAAAGCATTTCATTTTGGTACAGATCTTCTTGTTGAAGGTAAAAAACTAATTCAATATTTAAAATTTAATTCATTTGTTTTTTTTTTTTTTATAATATATAATTAGTTGATATTGGTTTACCAGGTGATATGCGAATTCAACAAGCACATGATATTGGTACAAATTTACAAATGAAACTTGAATCATTATCTGAAATTGAACGTGCTTTTGTTCATATTGATTATGAATTTGATCATAAAGCTGATGAACATAAACAAATTTAATAATGTATTGACATTTGATTAAAAATTAGATTAAGTCAATAATTTATTTCAGATACAAAAAAAAAAAGAAAAGAATAGACATAATTTAATTACAAAAAAAGAAAATAAAAAAATTCTTTCTCAAGTACATTTATTGACTCTTCTAACTATGAATAAGAAAATAATTTAAATATGTGCAAAAAATTGAGTTTTATATATTTTTTTTCTCTATTGCATCAATCAACATCTATGACAAATTTGATAGATTACAAACAGATATATGCCCGTTCGGTATCAGATACATGATGTTGCATGTTAATGAGGATATAAATCATTTCTTTTCCTGTTAATATCATCGTACACATATCACAATTTACAATATACAACAACAATTGTTGATCTTGCCACGTCAAAGAAAGGAACACCAGTAAACCATCTGTAAATCTTTTCGAACGAATCTCTTTAATGTCATTCAGCATGGTGTCCGTTTTACTCATTATATATATATATCGATCGCATATTACACAGCATAGATGATTTCACCATCTATGTTTTCTTTTTTTTTTAATAACACATATATATATATATGTATAGAGAAAAGAATGCAACGTTTATGTAATTTCCGTTCTAGAAAAAGATGATGAGAATGATGACAACAATGTTGAATGATTTAGCTGTTGTTGTCGTCGTCATCAACAAGAACTATGTCGATAAACTAATATCAATCTTATATATATATAAAAAAAAGTGTCTATAAGAGGGACAATGAAGATAGAATTATTAACGTATGTGCTGCTTGTGCATTCTATTCTATTTTGATAGAATGTGCGTGAGCGAAAGAAAGTATATAGATGGTGATGAAACAAGGGAAGAAAGCCGCAGGAAATCTTTTCAGAGAAAGAGACTAACTATGTCTTCTATTGTTTGATCGGCAAGATCGTCACCCTTTCTGTCTTAATTCGAATTCTGAGAGAGAATATCGTCTCTCTGCTACAAGTCTAAATGCAATACTTTTCTTTTTTTTTTTTTTTTCTTCTTTTCTATCTATCTATTAGATTTTCTTCTACATAATAGGACAACAATAATAGTTTAGTCGTCGCTGCTATCATCATTATACCAGAGTATATAATAAATAATTACTGATAATAGTCCGTATTAGCATCTGTATATAACTAAAGCAAAAAAAAAAGGGCAAAAAAATAGAAAGACAAAAAGCAATTTACATGTCCAAAATATAACAACAAAAGAAAAATCTAACAAAACTCATTCATGCGCAGTGGCAGAAAACAACATTATAGCTGGAAATTAGATGATGAACGACGTCAACGATTAACAACGTCATCAGGACAAACTTTCCCAATAACAACATACAATCATAGACCTGGTAATTACACGCATGAAGAAAACCATACAGGTATACATAAATTAGGATATAATACAGATGTTGATTTCATCAAAGAGCCGAGAAAAAAAAACCCCACAAAATATATAGATTTAGCTTAATCCTTGACTATTATTAACGAGATTGTCCAGAGACAACACAAAAAAAAACGAAGAAGACGAAGAACTAAGATCTTGTTCTATGTTTATTTTTGACATTGAATAACATTGTAATTCTGATCATGTCTACAATAATGACAAAATCAGTACGTCTGTGATCTCTTTCTCTCGATAGATTACCCAAGCGTATTTAAATTAACTTGCTCGAAGAAAAAGAAGAAAAAAAAACCACAACAAAGAAAAAAAAAAAAATAGAGATAAAAAGAAATATAGAACTAACGAAGAGATCCAATCAAATTGATAAACAGATTAATATTCGACATTCTTTTATATTATTCTTATATATATAAAAATATTTCATCGAACGGAATGCCACGTCGACGATTATCTTCACGGCAAAAATTTGCAGCTGCTTTTTATAATTGGGCAGGTTAGAAAACGTTAATTTCGATGTTCTAAACATTACTTCTTTCTCTTTTTTTGGTTTATTTAATCGTTTTCTATTTATATACATGATCAATTGAACAAATAATATGTATATATTTCATATATTGAATTTTTCCGCCATTTTTCCGTTATTAGTTTTTAAATACACAACAATATAATATAATGATGAGTAGTACATCATCATTTTATTTTTTTATTATTGTTGATTATATCTTCTACCAAAAAATTATTATTATTATTATTATCAGAAAGATTGAACTTTCCGATGAATTCTCTAGAGTAAAGAAGAAAAAAAAAAAAAAACTACGATAGATTGATCAATTTTTCACATGTCATCAAATGCACATGGATCAGATTTCAACTAGATATGACGAACTGTCTCATAGATGTCTTGTATATATAGGCTATCAAGGGACATCCAATTACATAATTGGAACGAGGCGTGTGTGTGTGTGTGTGGATAGCACAATAAAAACGAAGTAATATATAAAGAGAGACTAGAGAAAAGAGAGAAGACCGTTCTAATGACTCCAAGACTAAAAAAAATCGAACAGAGGAAAGAAGAAGAAGAAGACAAAAAAAAGAAAGAAAGAAGACAACGGAAACACATTTACCGTGAATTATAAAGCAAGAGTACGACTAGTGAGTGTATTTGTCACGTCAACCATACATTTCTATGAACACATCATCGTTTGAAACAAGAAGCATGAGACCAACACGTAAGTCATATGGAATTTATCAAAGACGATAATAAAAAATAAATCTAAATGTTTTCTTTCATTTGACCTGTCAACGTATTGTCCTTGTTAGAAATCCAATGTAGTTATACGAGAAAAAAACCACAGAGAGAGAGAGAGAGACGAACATCATGAATCTATCAAATAAATTCTGACAGCATATAAACAAACACCTTATTGACTCGAACAAAAAGAAAAAAAAAAAGAAAACGATAATTTATCAGATAAAACATGATCGACAATATCACAATTGCAAGCATAAATTCTCATTTTCCCAGATAATAACTAACGATATAAATAACCATATGACGAGTATTGGTAGAACGATAATAGGAGAAGATAATAGAAATCGTGATATACATGGACATTACTTACATACTCAACCAATAATACATACTAGTAGACGATCAATGCCTAGAATACAAACTGGTAATCATTTTATTATTTATTAGAAGATAAATAATAAGATTTACTTTATTAATTATTATTTCTAAAACAGACATTGATTTTATTTTATTTTTTTTGTTTTCATTTAGCATCTCATGAAGATTATCATATTGGCCTTTGTGGATATATATTAGTTATTTTATCCTATGTACTTATATTTATAACTCTTCCATTTTCACTTACTGTTTGTCTCAAAGTAGAAATTATTTTTAATTTTTTTATACAAAATAAAATAATTTCTTTTTTTTTTTTTTTTTAATAATGATATACATATATATAGGTTGTTCAAGAATATGAACGTGCTGTTATGTTTAGACTTGGTCGTATACTTGGTGGTGCAAAGGTATCGATTATTTGACATCAAAAGATGTTTTTTTGTTCTAATATGTTTTAAAATAATATAGGGACCTGGTCTGTTTATTATCGTCCCATGTGTTGATGCTTATACAAAAGTTGATTTAAGAACAGTGACATTTGATGTACCACCCCAAGAGGTTTGTTTAGAATTATTTGCATAGATTATTTTTATTGTTTATGTATATATATAGATTTTAACAAAAGATTCAGTAACAGTCGCTGTTGATGCTGTTGTATATTTTCGAGTATTTGATCCTATTATATCTATTACAAATGTTGAAGATGCACCAAAAAGTACACAATTACTTGCTGCTACTAGTTTACGTAATGTGTAAGTAATTTAATCAAACGTGACTATAAATCATTTTTACTTTTACTATCACAAATGACTTTTCTTTATTTAATATCTCGCGTATAAAGTATGCATTAGACTGTCTATAATTTTCAATAGAACTCGAATATATATGTATGTTGAATATTATAATTATGATTTTTTTTTATTATTAGTCTTGGTACTAAATCTTTACAAGAGATTCTTTCGGATCGAGAATCAATTGCACAAACAATGCAGGTATAGAAATTGAAATGAATATTTTGTTTTAAAATAATAAGTAATTTATTTTAGGCTGCTTTAGATGAAGGTACAGAATGTTGGGGAGTTCGAGTAGAACGTGTAGAAGTGTAAGTTTAATGTTATTTAAATATTCTATCATTGAATTAATGTATTTTTCTGTTTGATTTTTAGTAAAGATGTTCGATTACCAGTACAACTTCAAAGGTAAACTATTGAATGATTGTGTTTTTCTTTTTTTGTTGTCTTTTCTTATGTTTATAGAGCTATGGCAGCTGAAGCTGAAGCAGCAAGAGAAGCTCGTGCTAAAGTAATTGCTGCTGAAGGTGAACAAAAAGCATCAAGGTAACGATTATATTTATTTTGATTTATTTTCAATATGTATGACATTTTCTTTTTATATATTAGAGCATTAAAAGATGCAGCAGATGTGATCATGCAATCACCAACAGCTCTTCAACTTCGATATTTACAAACATTAACAACGATTGCATCAGAAAAAAATTCAACCATTGTATTTCCAATTCCGGTAATGAAGATGATGACCGGACTTAACATTACTTCTTATCTAGAAACTCAATTATGAAGATTCTTTGAGAGGGCAGGTTTTATATTAGTTTTCATTTGTCATATAATATTATGTCTGTTAAACACAAACATCTATCTTGACTTTTTCTTTTCTTTACAATAATATTTTGTAATATTTCATAATAAATTTTTCTTTCTTCTTTTCTTTTTAGATTGAACTAATGCAAGCAGCTATTGGAACATTTCATAATTCATAATGGGATTTCTTTGTTTTTTTTTTTTTGTGAACTAATTTTATGTAACCTTAATCTTTTTTTTTTTTTTTTTGCTACACACAACATAACTGGTTAAAAACAAAAAAGAAGACATTATTGTAATATATATTATATATTTTTTAAAGAGAAAAAAACGTTTAGGATGTTAAAGAACAACGCGAGACATACACAAGAGATACACACGCGCGCGCGCACAAGAATAAGAATAAGTTGGGTCAAAATTGTTTTCTTTTATTTTTATTTTTTAAATGTTTTTTTTTGTTTGTTTGTTTGTTTGTTTAAAAAAAAAAAAGAAGAGCCCCAATTTCTTTTTAAAAGCATTTACGATGAACAATTGATGGACCTGATTCATCATATTCTTGTTTTGAAATCCACATTTGTTGAAATGTTGATAATGATGCTAAAATAGAACCACCAATCCATACTGAATATTTTCTTTCAGGTGGTGCTATTATTTTGATTTTCATTGTTGATGGTGCTAATGATGTTATTTCTTTTTGCATACGATCAGCTATACCTGGATACATTGTTGAACCACCAGAAAGAACTGTATTTGCATATAAATCTTTACGAATATCAATATCGCATTTCATTATTGAATTATATGTTGTTTCATGAATACCTATTATAATTAAAAAATAATATATATATATATTATTTAATAAATAATATCTTACCAGCTGTTTCCATTCCAAGAAAACTTGGTTGAAATAAAGCTTCAGGACAACGAAAACGTTCATTACCAATTGTAATAACTTGTCCATCAGGTAATTCATAACTTTTTTCTAATGATGATGATGATGCAGCTGTAGCCATTTCTTGTTCAAAATCTAATGCAACATAACATAATTTTTCTTTTATATCACGTACTATTTCACGTTCAGCTGTTGTTACAAATGAATAACCACGTTCAGTTAAAATTTTCATTAAATAATCTGTTAAATCTCTTCCAGCTAAATCAAGACGAAGTGTCGCCTCTGGTGTTGCATGACCTTCATAAACTGGCACTGTATGTGTTACACCATCACCTGAATCAAGCACCATACCAGTTGTACGACCACATGCATAAAGTGAAAGTACAGCTTGAATTGCAACATACATTGCTAAAAATAAAAACATAATTATTTAATTATTTATCAATCAATTTATTTAACCTGGTGTATTAAATGTTTCAAACATAATTTGTGTCATTTTTTCACGATTAGCTTTTGGATTTAATGGTGCTTCAGTAAGAAGTACAGGATGTTCTTCAGGTGCAACACGAAGTTCATTATAAAAAGTATGATGCCAAATTTTTTCCATATCATCCCAATTTGTAACAATACCATGTTCAATTGGATATTTTAATGTAAGTATACCACGTTTTGATTGTGCTTCATCACCAACATATGAATCTTTTTGTCCCATACCAACCATAACACCTTGATGACGTGGTCGACCAACAATTGATGGAAATACTGCACGTGGTGCATCATCACCAGCAAAACCAGCTTTACACATACCACTACCATTATCAATAACAAGTGCTGCTACATCATCGTCACACATTGTTGAAATGTTAATTCACAAAAAAAAAAACAAAAAACAACAATGAAAATTTTCAAAGATGAAAAATATAACAGCTGCCTATTCGTGTTTCTCTCGGTCGACGAATAACGCGCGCGCTGTTTTTTTCTTCTTTTACTCTTCATATTTCTTTTTTTCTCTCTCGCTCTCTATCGCGGATTTCAACTATTCTATTATTTTATGTTTTTGACCGACGATTACCATATACGGACATATATATTATAGGGTCGACGACGAAGAAGAGAGTAAACGAAGAAGAAGAAGAAGAAGAAAAACGTTGGTCATTGTTTTAATTGAATAGTTCAGTTTGATGTACGAAAAGATGAAGAACAGGAAAACGAATGTTTGTCTATCGGTCAAATCAAGCTAGTTTGTTGTTATTCTTCGGTTAAAGACGACGAATAAGCGCCTGACCGAGAAAAGGTTAATAGACCAAGAAGAAAGCATTTGTTATGATACTTAAAATATTATAACTATTTCTCTTTTCCGGTACTTGTCGATTTCTCTCTATCTTGAGACATTGTAAATAATGTCGTTGTATCTTAAATTGTTCAAACAGATGTTCTCATTTTCTTATGAATAAATTGTACATTTTGTTCTAAATGACTTTACTCTATAGAATAATATGAATTAAATGAAGTTGACCTCCAAATAAATGTATGTGTGTGTGTTTATTTCTTTTTTATCTTTTTTTGCACTAAAAGATATTTATTATTTTAACACAAAAAAAAACAAAAAATAAAATAAAACACATTTTTTTATTTTTTATGATTTAATTAAAAATTCAATCATTTTTCGATTTTGTTGTGTATCATTCATTTTTTGTTTTAATTCATCTAATGGATCATCTAATCCATCATCAAAATCTGTTGCTTCTCGTGTCCATGAATTATCATATTCTAATTTATATGCACCTAAAAAATGATGTGGACAACCATTATTTTTAATTGTTGTTAACCAATCTTGTGGATGCATAATTGATAAATATTTTTGTCCATTTTGTCTTTGATAATAATAATATATTTGTCCAGGTCGTCGAACTAAATTACATGCTGAATGATTTAATTCATCATCACGTTTTGCTTTAACTAAAATACGTTGTGCTTCTTGACGTAAAAAATTAACTTGATTAACAATAACTTGTAAACGATTTGAAACATTAGCACGAATAAATGCATCACATGTTTCAATTTGTTTAGCTAAATTAACAAGATCATGAGGATCAGATATAGAATCATTTCGTGTATTAATTATTGTATGACCAAATGGTTGTTTATTACTTTCAACTAATTGAACACATGTTCCTGTTGATGTTGATGGTGGAATAATATTAGCTAAGACAAGATCACGAATGATAGGTTGAGAATCCATTAGATGAATTAAATTTAATCTTAAATAATAAAATAAAATAAATATTAATATTGATGAAAATATTGTAATGTCATGATTATGAAAGTATGAAAAAGGTATTCTTATCAAATGACTAGATTTGAAATATGATAGTATGAGAATAACATCATTTTTCGATAGAGATCGCTCTTATCTGAATTCTATTTCAAATTTTTATATAATTCCAAATTTTGAATAAAAAATATTTTCATACATAAATATTATTAGTTTATCATTAAATATCAACATATTTTATTTTTCTTTACTAAATATGTACTTTTTCTGGTATATTAATATTTGCTGAGAATATACAAAAAAAGAAACAAAAACATTTGTTAAATTTTAATTAGTTTGATAAATAGACAGTTCTACGTGGAAAGTATCGATATTGATATTGATTTTTTCATATTCTTATTATTTAAAGCAATCATTTTCAATAAAATGGTTAAGAAAAAAAAAGTTCTTTGAAAACAAATTTTCATGAAATCTTATCCAGAAAATAGAACAGATACATTTATTTCTTATAATATAAAGCCCTCGACATATTAGAAGAACCGGGGTCTTCTATTCTGTCTTATCGCTCATAAGTGACAAGGGGGGGGGGGGTCTTATATTATGTCCCCTAAAAAAGTTATATTTTTCAGCAGTCTTTCCAACAAATCTTTGTTTCAATTCATTTTTGTTCAATATAATCGTTAGAAAAAAATAGTATTTTACTTATTCAACATGTGTATGATGAGAAAGCAACAAATGTTATTCTGTGAAAAAAAGAGAGTATATCATTGATAATAAATATTCTTAGAATATTAAAGGCAACGTATCCAAACATCTTAATAAAATGTCCACTAGAATTTTTTTTCTAAAAAATAATATGTGCCATTGACCAAATTTTAAACTTCTCAATAACTAAATAACTCAGAAAATGAATTAACTTGTTTTGTCAAACTCAATTAAATTAATTGTTCTTGTTTATTTTTGACTAGTATTGATGGAATCTATTCACATGAAAATCTAACAATAGCATATTTATTAATCTCAAGCCAACGTCAATGAACACGTTTGTATTAAGAATAAGCAATTAATAAAAAAAAGAGTAGTTGGATGCACATTTTGTGTTTTCTTCTTGGTCTTTTTTTGAAAAATAGCTTCAGATTTTATTGAGAATAGAAATGTGTTCTGAGTCTCATGAGAAGTACTTACAAAAAACCGACACGTATTAGAAACGAAAACCAAATCGAATTGTCAAATAATCTTATTCGATTGAATTCGTCTGAGGCGAACTGAATCCGATCGAAGATATTGCTGAATCGAGATTTTCTTATTCGTTTCTGTCTTGAGTGTATATACATGAATTCACGTTTTTTTCAATTATAAAAGAATGCTTTGTGATGAATATGTTTCAGAATTTCTAGAAATTCCAGATAATTAGGCTTTTTAATTATTACGCAATGAAGTTTCACCTAATATGCTATTATTTTACAAAGATTTGTTCATGCGTTACATCCACGGCTCTGCACTAAGTCCATTATAATCCAAGACCATGAGAAGTTTTTTTTTGTGTCGAGAACCGTAAAAATTCCTTCTGAATATGCTGAAAAAGAGCACTAAAAAGATTTCATGATATGTGTTCTATAAAGAAATACATTCTTTACTAAACAGTTGTTTTTGATTCATTGTTTCGCAAGACCTTTTTCACTTCGAACTGACGTATTATTTTCATGAAGGAAGCAAACTATTGTTCGTACCGACCTAAGATATAATTACGAATTTAAATACTAAAAAAGTTAATAAACTCCAGAAATTATTTGTAAAAAAATCGATTTTATCAGGGGGATCTTCTAATATGTATTTTGCTTCATTTATCCAAGGGGGGTTTTCTAATGTGTCGGGGGCTCTAATATACAACAGTTAATATTCGAATTTACATAAGTATGTATACCAGTGGCGTAGCCAGGTATTTTTGAGTCATGGGCAATTCATCAGTCGAACTATTTTGAGTTATGGGCGGCTAAGGGCAACTGTTATGATTTCAAAATTATCTATGGGCAATTGCCCAATGGCGGTTCTACCCTGGCTACGCCGCTGATGTATACGAAAATCTCACGGTTAAATCTCACGGTTAATATACTACATTGCACACTGGGTATATGTTTCTCACAATAGCATAATCTTTATTATATTTATAGACAAAAAAAAAATTCTGAAGTAGCGCCTCCGTATTGGTATATCTAATATCTCTATCACAATGAACGAAGTGTATTTGCAATCTCAATAATTCAACAGTTAGTGACCTGTGGTTTTCAGCAAGCAACAGAGAAGAACTTCGGACAGTTTTTTTTTCTGATACTCCATAAGACAAAATCATTTCAATGATAACAAATCGTTAATGTGATAGATCAAAATATATGGGCATGATCAACTGCCCTGATACCCTATTTTGATACAGTCCTATTGTAAGGATAGAACATACTATTGTCCGGGTCGTATGAGAAAGGATCCCAGATAGCCCTGGATTGGCCTAAACCACATCATGTTTTATCCTTACAATAGTAGACAAAAGCTACCGGTAGCTTTTGTCTACTATTGTAAGGATAAAACATGATGTGGTTTAGGCCAATCCAGGGTTATCCGAAATCCTCTCTCGTATGGTCCGGACAATAGTGTGTTTTATCCTTGCCATAGGACTGTATCAAAATAGGATATCAGAGCAGTTGATCGCACTCATATTTTTCTACAAGACTAAATTAAGTTTAAAAAAGAAATAAATAACTTCACACACATACATATATTTTCATGACAATACAAAAAAAAACAAAAACAAAGTTTTTATATCACTGATATAATGTTGATGATCGTTCTGGTATTCTAAATTGATTTGATATATATTCTTTACTATGCTGAAATAAACATGATGAACTTTTTGATTTATATTTAATAATACATTTTTTTGGATTCGAAAGAAATATTTGTTGATGTGTTAATGGTTGATGATCATTAAGAAATTTTTCCAATCGTTTATTTGTATTAAATACATATGCTGAACTTGTTTTTCTATGTCGTTCATATGATTGTCCTAAATATGAATATATTTCTTTTCTTAATGTTGGACTTAATATAACATAAAGTGTTGGTGAAAAAACTAAATAAATAAGTAAATTTAATCGTATAAAAAAAACTAATGTTGAATTATCACGATCATGATCATCAATTAATTTAAATGATATTAAAAAATAATAAAGATGTGTTGGAAAATATGTTATTAATAACCACATTGATTGACATAATAATGTTAATGTTATTTCATTAGTTAATGATATTTTTAATCGTGATGATTTATTATTTAATATCATTGATAAGGATTTTTTAAATAAACGTTTACGTCTTTGACATATATTAAAACAAATATAAATATCAAAAATTGAATTAAATAAAAATGGAAGTATAAATGAATGTGAATGTGTTAATATTTTAATACGATCTGTTGTTAAATGTAAATAACGTTTTATTGAACAAATACCATATGCAAAATTTACCCAACGAAATGCTTTTATATCAACTGATATTAATTCATCAATATGTAATATAAAACATAAACATGTTGCAATTAAAAGTATTAAATATATTGTACGTGGTTTTAATACATTTTTAACTTTTAATGGTCGTCGAAATGTAATTGAACGTTCAAATGATAATAAGACCATAATCCAAAGTGACGTTGTTGCTAATGATTGTTGTAAATATTGTATATATTTACATAAATAAATTGGATTAACAATATAAAATAGTAAATAGAGCCATGAATGACTATAAAAAACAAAAAAATATATATATAGAAGTTTATTAGTAATATGATAATTAGAAAACATGTCAGAGTTATATTCAAATTTAACAAGGATTAAACTTAATATTATAAGATAGTTTTTAACCTAGTCTCAATAACAAAAACATTCTGTCCTATGTTATATAAGTTTAACTGCACATACTACGTAATACCATGTTGACATCTACCTATGTTCTTTTCATTCTAATCTATTGATTTTAAAAGAACTTTGATAAGTAATATATATATATATGTGCAATTATTAATTCTCTGTGATTTCGATGAAAGATTTTTTCATTAAAATATTTCTTACGATAAAATGCTTGCACAATTGACCAATACAAAAGTATAGATATAACAACGAAATGAACCTTGTCGAAAGGTTTTTGATGCAGTAAATATTAATAATGCAAGAATATTAAAAATTAAACCAATAATTCCTAATATAAGTGGAATTAAATTTAAAATTGATGACCAAATTGATTGTTCTTGTGGTAAAATTAATGTTTGATTTATATATAAACCAGAAGCAAAACCAACATAAGTTAATGCATCATATAATGATTCAAATGATTCTGTTGTATTGAAATCCATATTCCATTAGAAAATATCAAATAAATCTTAAATAAAAATTTATATTTGTTTTCTATTCTTTATTTTATTCATTATTTTTAGTAATAGAGTACAGAAAATTGAATATTATGCGGAACTTTCAAAAAAAAAAAAAAAATGTTTTTTTTCACTTACATTTGATCATATAATTATTAAGAGTGTGTCTATGAATTAATTTACTAAATGAATGTTATTATTTAATGACTAGAACATTCCAATAAGACTAATGAATTGGCTCGTAGGCATGCTCATAAAATTTAATATGTGTATGTGTGGGACGATTTTTTTATAAACGTTGAAAAATATTTTGAAAAATTTATGTTCTTTATAGAATTGTTCCTATGTAAAAAAAGAAAATTTGAGTACTAACTACGGTATTTGTACAAAATATTTAAAAACAAAAACACTTTTCCACTATCATAGACAAAAAAAAACATAGATTAAAGTTATGTATAATGAAGAAAAATGAAATAATCTAATGAAAAAAGCTAATAAAGAAAAGCTGTTTTTAATGACTTTTTTTGAGCATCCTCTATTTTTTTTTTCTTGA